TCTTAAAAAAAAATCCCATAGCTGACATTTCACTTACTGGTACCTGAATGATTTATTTCCCCATTATGTAGGAACAAGACTAGGATAGTTCCTGCCCAGTACAAAGAGGCAAGAAATAGAAATAGACATACATGATAGGATAAACAAATAAAGTAGATTATATTTACTATATATCATTGTCCATGTAGAAAATTCAAAAGCCTGAAGTTTTAGCTAGGTTGCAAGCATAATAAGATCAATGTACAGAAATCAATTGTATGTCTATATTTTTGTAAGAAATCAGTAAGAAATTAAAAATTTTTTACATAATTTCTACTAGAGTTTCAAACTACATACAGTATTTGAAAATAAATTGTATAACACTTTGTGCAGGATTTAAATGGTAAAAGTAACATTTTTATAGAATAAATTAATAGACCCTAATAGAAATATAGTGGTTGTGAATTAGAAGAGTAAATCTTAGTAAAGATAGCAATTTTCCATAATTAATCTACAATTTTGGCACAGTCTCATTAAAAATCTTAATAGAGCCAGAACCGGTTTGGCTCAATGGATAGAGCATAGGCTTGGGGACCAGTCAAGGGCATGTACCTTGGTTGCGGGCATATCCCCAGTAGGGGGTGTGCAGGAGGCAGCTGATCGATGACTCTCATGGATGTTTCTAACTATCTCTCTCCCTTCCTCTCTGTACAAAATCAATGAAACATATTTTTAAAAAAATCTTAATAGAACTTTTTGTATAAATAGAGAAACTGATTCTAAAATTTATATGAAAATACAGCAAAGGAATAAAAATTTTGAAAAAGTTAGAGGAATCATTCTACGTATTATCAAACCTTATGAAACACTAGAGGCCCAGTGCATGAAATTCATGTATTTGGCGGGGGGCCGGGGAAAGGGGGTGTCCCTCTGCCCAGCCTGCACCCTCTTCAGTCTGGGACCCCTCGAGGGCCATCTGACATCCCTCTCAATTCAGGACCACTGGCTCCTAACCACTCACCTGCCTGCCTGCCTGATTGCCCCTAACCGCTTCTGCCTGCCAGTCTAATCACCACTCCCCAGTTAGCCTGATCAACGCCTAACTTCTCCCCTGCAAGCCCACTTGCCCCCAACTGCCCTTCTCTTCTGGTCCAGTCACTCCTAACTGCCCTCCCCTGCAGGACTGGTCACCCCCAACTGTCCTCCTCTGCCGGCCTAGTCGCCCCAACTACCCTCCTCTGCTGGCCCGGTCACCCCTATCTGCCCTCCCCTGAAGGCCTGATTGCTCCCTACTGCCCTCTCTTGCAGGGCATCTTATGTCCACATGGGGATGGAGTGATGTGTGTTGGAGTGATGGTCAATTTGCATATTACCTCTTTATTATAAAGGTACTTTAAAATGTTAAGACAGTATGGAATAGAATAGAGAATCCAGAATAGACCCTTTCATCTGTATACAGTTGGTTTACCACAGATATACAAATAATTCAGTGGAAAAATGGTAAAAGCACAGGCACAATTTGATACCCATATGCAAAAAAAAAAAAAAAACCTCCAAAAAACAATCTCAACCCTGTTTTACACTATATAAATTTACTTAAATCATCATAGACTTAAATATAAAAAAGTAAAAAGAAAAAAAAATGTTTACAAGAAAATATAGAAAGTATTTGTGACCTAGACAACAATTTCTTAAATGCATAATCTTAAAAACTCAAAAATTCTGTTTTCATAAAACAGTTATAAGAATATAAATATGAACCATAGACTTGAAGATATTTGCAAAGCACATGTATATAGATCTCTGAAAACAAATAAGAAATCATCCATTTTTTTTTTTTAAATGGGCAAAATGTTTGAATAGACTTTTTCCACCAAAGAAGATAAACTGGTGGCAAAAAAAAGTACATGAAAATTACTCAATAGCATTAGTCACAGAAATGTAATTTAAAAACACAGCAATAAAACTAAAAGTAACAATCATATCATTTCAAAGATATGGAGTAATTAGAACTCTCATACATTGTAAGTTAGGAATGCAAAGTGGTATGTGAACTTCAGAAAGCATTTGATGATTTGTTATAAAATTAAACATGCACTCACCATACAACTCAGCAATCCAAGTAAATCTTTTAATGTTCACATAGAACCCTATTATGAGAATATTCATAGCAGTCTTACTCATAATCGTCTCACATTAGAAACAGCCCATCTTTTTCAGTTGGTGAATGGCTGAACAACCATGGTGCATCCATGTAATGGGAGAATGCTCTGCAATGTAAAGGATTGAGCATCTGATCTTGCAAGTACAGAAGTGAATCAGTCTCACATGCATTATGCTAGGTGAAATGAGCTGTACTCAGAGGCTGTCATCCCATTCTGACATTCTGAAAAAGAAACAATATAGGGATAGAAAACAGATCAATGGTTAGCTGGTGGGAGTGCTTGGGGGAATGGGGACGGGGAGAGTTGATTACAAAGTGGCATGAAGGAACGTTGGAGGTACTGGAACTTTTCTATGTCTTTACTGTGGCGATAGGTACATGGTTTGTATTTGTGTCGATGAAACCTCATTCAGCTGAGCACTTATAAGGATGAGTTTTAACCTATATAAGTTATATCCACCAATTCTAACTTACAGAAATAATTTCTGTGGATAATATCAGCTCAGCACAACAGAATAGATCAATGAACTTCAAGTGAGAACAATAGAAACCTACCAAATGATTTGAAAGAAATCATTTTTAATATATATAGAGAGGAAGACTTACAACCTAGGGAACTACTACCGTGTTTCCCCGAAAATAAGACAGCCTCCGAAAATAAGACCTAGCGCATGGAAAGATAAGACATCCCCTGAAAATAAGACCTAGCGCTCAACTTTGGAAGAAAAAATTAATATAAGACACTGTCTTATTTTCGGGGAAACAGGGTAGCAGTCAAATATGAATGGAGAATAGGAGTCAAATATGCATGTTTTTGTAGGATAGAAAGAGTATAGTGGTTCTCAACCTTCCTAATGCCTCGACCCTTTAATACAGTTCCTCATGTTGTGATGCCCAACCACAAAATTATTTTCGTTGCTACTTCATAACTGTAATTTTGCTACTGTTATGAATCATAATGTAAATATCTGTGTTTTCCGATAGTCTTGGGAGACCTCTGTGAAAGGGTCATTCGACCCCCCAAAGGGGTTTTGACCCACAGGTTGAGAACCGTTGGTATAGATGATTATTTGAATAATTATCCACATTTGATCCAAAACAAGCACATCACTAGTTCAGGAAATTCAGTGACCCTAGCATGGTGGTCGGCAAACTCATTAGTCAACAGAGTCAAGTATCAACAGTACAATTGAAATTTCTTTGGTGAGCCACATTTCTAAAATTTCTTCTAACACCACTTCTTCAAAAATTTTTAAACTTCTTCTAACGCCAGGCCTTGGTATTTTGTGGAAGTGCCACACTGAAGGGGCCAAAGAGCCCCATGTGGCTCGCGAGCCTCAGTTTGCTGACCACTGCCCTAGCAGAATAAATAAATTTTGAAATTTTACCAAGAACCCCCTGCTGAAGTAACCAATCATGTTAAAACTTCTGAAAACCAAAAAGGAAAAGTAGCCAAAGAGAGGGGGAAAACACCACCAACATCTTACATTCACCTCATCCCTCTAAGAGTGACAGCTGACTTCTCTTAAGGAACTTGTAACTAGAAGACAATAACATCTAAAGTGCTGAAAGAAAAATAAAACAAGACTCCTAGAAATCTCTGTCAAGGAAAAATACTGCTAACCTACTGGTCTGAGCATCTGCCCCCTGTTGGTTAGTGTTCACCATAGTGAAGGGTCGAGCGGTAGGTTGAATGGTCAATCTATGGGTCGGACACTTAGCATATCACACTTTTATTATACACGATAGGTTTACTGACTATATTCTCTATGCTGTACTTGACATCCCTGTGACTGTTTTGTAACTGCCAATTGGTGCTTCTGAATCCCTTCATCTTTTAAGGAGAAATCTTTTAAGACTGAAGGTGAGATAAAAACATTTTAAGATAAACTAAAGCTAAGAAAATTGTCACCATCCTATCTGCACTATAAGAATTGCTTCAGGAAGTTCTTTAGGCTGAAGGGAAAATATACCTAATGGAACTTCAGGTCCACATGCAAGGAGGAAGAGCCAGCTTCCGGTTTACTCTCTTAAGATGCTCTCTGTACTTCCTGCCAGCCAGTGTTCTGTTTTTTCCAAATTCTGCCAAACCCATTACTGGATCCTGAAATCAATCTAGAAGGTCCTGACCAATCTAGAAGGTTCTTCCTGAGAAGTAGAGTACAATGGGAAATACCAGGATATATACACTAGTAAGTGTAATGGTTAACTTTTAACTTTATCTCAAGTCTGTACGATTATATACTGGTTTGCAATGGAGTTTTTGGCTTCTGGGTTAAATTAAAAGAAATGCATGGAAACACTGCCCTGACTCCATTGGCCTTTCCCTTTCTTGAACATCCCAGGTCTTGATGTTGGCAGTACCGGAGAACTTTCTCTCTGCCTCTTTGCAGAGCCAGCTTCTTTCCAACTTTTACGTTTGAGCTGAAGCATTTTCTCATCACAAGAGTCTCTCCTGCCTTTCTACAAAAGTAGGGCACTGTACTCTGTGTCAGCATGAAATTTTAACAAAGCCCTAGGGCTTAACAGCATCAAAAGACTGTGTTTGAACTTACTAGGAAATTGTATCTGGTAGGCAGACCTTTCTCAAAACCTGTCATTAATGGGGGGAAGATGTAGGAAAGCCAGTAAACTTACTGACAGTTTGTTCTAGGTTGGAAAAGATGATTGGACTGTGTGAAATCTATTCACCTGGAATTAAAATGCAAAAATAAAGTGTTTTGGTTTTTTTTAAGAAGATTAAAATCCTGCTTTCTAGTCCTTGCCTGTTCACAGTGGAAATGACTACCTTGCACTAGGTTTTCTCTCCAAGGCTAAAACAGCTTTCTATTAATTCTGAAATTTCTTCACGTTTCAGTGGTCAGATGTGAATTTCCATCAGTCACTAATGGAAAGCTTGTGTCAGGATTTGGAACAAAATTTTACTACAAACATGAGGTTCAATTTGAATGCAACGAGGGTTATTCCCTTAAAGGCAGCCCCAAAATTGTCTGTGAAGCTAATGCCACCTGGGTACCCGAGAAGCCTCGCTGTGATAAAGGTACAAAGGGTGTCTTCTACTTTCTTGTCCTGTTTGGGTTTTATTTCTTTGAAATATAAATGGCAGAGTAATTGAAGTGAAGCAGTTTTAGTATCTATGTCTTAACATGACACAAAGTCACAAAGAATTCTGCTGTTGTTACTTGTGTATTTTCATAGGGTTGGCACGTTTTGTATATCACACAGGTTATAAATTTGTCGTCTTTGATTTTATGTGTAAAACTGTATAGCAGCCATCTGTAAGAAAATTGAAGCATGGGTATTTACATCTAAATAAGTTAAGAATGAAGAATGAAAAGACCATAATTTCTAAGTGGTTAATCCAGTCGAAATTATTTTCTTTTCCAGTTGTGACTCCTCCTCCTCCCAGTACCACAACTCCGATTTTGAGTCCTTCAGGTTTAGTAACATCCTGCTTACATTTTCAAAACTCTTCTGAATTATTGGTGCTAGTACCAGCGATAACTCCCAAGTAACTTGATCCACTCTACATTATTTTGTTTTCCAGTGTCAACTCCTCCCAGCACAAAACCTCCAATTTCCAGTGTCACAGGTTTAGTAACTTCCCACTTATATTTTTCAAAACCTTTCAAATTCCTGGTGATTTTTCGAAATCATTTCAGTTCCCAGATATTTTTTCATAATCCTTTAGCTATCTGATGATTTACACTCATTCATCCATTTTAGTAACGAAAGAACGAAGCACATATTTACAGCCATTCTAGTTGTTCTACGTAATAATTCTAAACTTATTTGCCATGGTCCTCAGCTGGAAACAGCTCTGTTAACTTGGCACGTTACGTAAACTTTAAGTGTGTTTATTTATATGTAAGATTGTTCAATACCTACCTCCCTGGATGGTAGGAACCATTAAGTGGGATCCCTTCAAGCATTTAGCACAGTATGTGGCTTACTGGAAGTTCTTAAAGACAGCTGTATGCCCTAACAGCATCACTGCAGTAAGTCAGTGAACAAGGAGACCCATGGCTTCTGTTCTTTAATGTGTTTGTTTTCCATCATCACCATTGCTATTTCATCCATTTTAAAAGCAATCTATCCGGTGATGCCTTTACAGAGTGTCTTCCTGATCCAGGACAAAGTTTCATTTCCTGGACTGCAAACAGTTTCATTCCTTTTCTAGAGCAATTTCACACTGGTGCTTACGGGCAGTGTTTCTAGAACAAGATCCGAATTGCTATTACCCTCCACTCTCATCTCATACAGTTATTCTTTTTGCCTTTACTGCCCCCCCCCTTTTTTTTAATCCTCGCCTGAGGATGTGTTTATTGATTTGAGAGAGAGTGAGAGAGAGAGAGAGAGAGAGAGAGAGAGAGAGAGAGAGAGAGAAAGATGAATTGGTTGCCTCACATATGCAAGCCAACCATAGGTCAAACCTACCTCCTAAGTATGTGTCCTGACTGGGAAGTGAACCTGCAACCTTTTGGTATATGGGAAAATGTCTGTGTCTATCCATCTGGCCAGGGCTTCACTAGCATTTTCACTTGGGAATAGAAACTAAATTTCATAGCAACTGAAATAGAGGGAAAAACTTAGATACTGGATTGAAATGGAGGACTTGTTGCAGGGACTGTCATCAGCCACTCGGCCTAAGACCTGAGGTTATTTTCATGCGGTGGGAGGAGCTGTCTTCCTGATTTCAGTGCTGCTTTCTCTGGCTTCTCTTTGGTTTCAGCAGAACCAAGAGGCAGGGGCAGTAGTGGAAGAGCATTAGCCTGGGCCGGTGGTCGGCAAACCATGGCTCACGAGCCACATGCGGCTCTTTGGCCCCTTGAGTGTGGCTCTTCCAGAAAATACCACGTACATTGCAATTGAAACTTCGTGGCCCATGCGCAGAAGTCAGTTTTCATCTCAAAAAATTTTTCAGTCGTTGTACTGTTGATATTTGGCTCTGTTGACTAATGAGTTTGCGAACCACTGGCCTGGGCGCCCCTCACTCAGGGCCCCTCCATTGGTTCTGCTTACTCATGGAGCATCATTTCCGTGGGCTCTAATTTCCTGTTGGTTAAGGAGGGTGTTGAACTCAAATCTCAATCATTGGCTTTCAATTTGCTTGTATATTTTTTGTTTTCCTAAGACTTTAAAAATTGAGGGAAGTTATGCATGTTAGTATGATCATTAGAACACCTTTTTATAATTCCTGTAGATCTGGCCCCTAGTAGCCTCCTAGAGTATCTCAGTTGAGCGCTGTGAGGTTTGGGGGGTGGGGTGAGAAGAGATGGTTTTTGCGTGTGAAGTTTATAGTCATTGACCCACCTGTCCTAGTAGGTCACATGTTCCCACTCACATATCCTAGTGGGTATATGTGCTGTGGGATACTGTTTATTGATAGGCTCTTTTGAATGAGTTAATCATGAGAATTCATAAAGGGCTTATAAACACCTTTACAATTAGCATTTGAAAGAAGAGGAGCAAATTTATTGTAAGAAAACTTTATAAACTATAGGGGTTTTTTATTTTTATGATTTTTAATTTTTTTATTGTTGAAAGTTTATATATAATTTTTATTGTTAAAAGTTTATATATTTTTATATGTATATTTCCCCTCCCCGCCATTGATCTTCTTCAGTCTGATCACCACTAACCATTCTGCCTCCTGGCCTACATGCCCTCAACTGCCCTCCCTCTCCCCAGGCAGTCTTCTCACCCCCAATAGCCTCCCACTGCTGACCTGAATACCTCCAACTGGCCCCCTGCTGGCCTGCTTGCCCCCAACTGCCCTCCTGCTGGCCTACTTGCCCCCCAACTACACCCCTGATTGCCTCCCCTGCCAGTCTGCTTGCCCCCAACTCCCCCCTTTGCTGGCCTGCTCACTCCCAACTGGTCCTCCCCCCCCTGCCGGTTTACTTACCTCCAACTGCCCTCCCCCCAGGGGCCTGATCACTCCCAACTGCCCTCCCCTCCTGGCCTGATCGCCCCTAACTGCCTCTGCTTCTGCCCAGCCACCATGGCTTTGTCAGGAAGGATGTCCTGAAAGTCTCCCAGTCTAATTAGCATATTATCCTTTGATTAGTATAAATGGATAGGAAATGAAGTCATGCATTAATTTCTTTAATTATCAGATAAACTTTTTGTTCTACTTTACTTATTCATGTCCTTTGTTCTATTAGGTTTCTGAATTACTTGTGTTGATTTACCAGAACTCATTATAAATTTAAGCCCCTTTTACCTGAAGTGAACATTGTTTTCTAGGTTTAATAAGTATATATTACTTTTATATAGCTTTCAATTACATAAATAGTAGTCTATAAATATAAATTTCTAGAATTTCCTTTTACTCTAGTTCATTGTTACTGTTTCTATACATTAATATCCTATATGTATAGATTTACATATTTTGTCAATTTTTCCTTTATCCTAAACAAAAATGGCATCATACTGTTCATATTTTCCTAAAAGTTTTTATACGTACCATCTTAGATTGGGTTTGTATTTAAATTTATTCCCATCCTTTTAGTGGTGACTTTAATATATGCCACATTTTACTCTATCAATGGTCTTTGATATGTGCAGATGTTTTACATTAATAGGTAGTTAGCTATATCCACCACTTGCCTAATGGCTGGCTCTGAGTGTGTATCTTTGTACAAAAGCTTTAGGTCCACCCCATACTTCAATTACATAAGCATTTCAACCTTGTGTTCTGGTTGTATTCTTTGAATTTAAATTGTTTTACATCTGAAATACTTGTTGTATAATAGAGGCCTGGTGCATGAAATTCATGCACTGAGGAGGTCCCTCAGCTCAGCCTGTGCCCTCTCACAGTCCAGGACTCTTCAGGGAATGTCTGCCTAAGCCACCACTCAGATATTCCTCTCGCAGTCCAGGACTCCTTGCTCCTTACCGCCCACCTGCATCAGAGGTGGAAAAGGCTCCTGCTACCGCCACTGCGCTCCACAGCTGTGAACTCAGCTTCTGGCTGAGTAGGGTTTGGGGGAGAGCACAGCTCAACCAGAAGCCAGGCTCACTGCTCCTTAGCGCTGGTTCCGCTCCCGGACCACTGGTGGGGGGCCGATCAGGGGCCAGGCTGGCCAGGGGAAGAGGCTGTGGGAGGTTGAGGCACCATGGTTGCACCCCATCCTGACTCTATGGAGGTGCCTGGACCATGCCACTGCCTCTCTCGCCACCTCTGCGGGAGAGGGGCCCTGCAACCACCATGGCTGGCCTTGCAGCACAGGCTCACTGGCTCCGCCTCCCACCCACTGGTTGTTCAGGAAGGTCATTCTGCCACCTGGTCTAATGATTATATAGGACTAGAGGCCCAGTGCACGAATTCGGCCTGGCCTGTGGGATCAGGCTGAAACCGGCTCTTCAACATCCCTTGGGGGTCCCAGATTATGAGAGGGCCCAGGCCAGGCCATGGGACCCCACTGGTGCATAATGGGGCTGAGAAAAAGGTTGGCCAACAGGAGAAGGAACCATGGGAAGGCTCCAGGGCTTGTCTGGCCTGTGTTGCTCAGTCCCAATCAGCCGGACCCCAGCAGCAAGCTAACCTACTGGTAGAAGCGTCTGACCTTGGTGGTCAGAGCATGTCATAGGGAGCAGTTGAGTGACCTGAGCATATCATGGCCGACCAGAAGTCTGGACACTTAGCATATTAGGATTTTATTATATAGGATGGAATGAGATTGAGTTCCTTTCCATTGCACCCATCCCTATTTGTTGAATAAATTGTCTTCTCTCCAACTGATTTGAAATGCCAATTTTTATCATAAATCTTATATTTCAACTGTCAATACACAAAGGTTTCAATTTTTCCATTCCTTACCAACCTTGTTATTTTGTGTGTGTTTTTAATACCAACTATTTTAATGTATATGAAGTGATATCTCGTCATTTTTGTTAGCATTTCCTAATGATTAGTGTTCATTTTAATATATTTTTATTGTTTTCAGAGAGGAAAATTCTTGAGAAAGAAAGAGATAGAAATCTCAATGATGAGAAGGAATCATTGATTGGCTGCCTCCTGCATGTGCCCCACTGGGGATGGAGCCTGCAACCCGGGCATGTGCCCTGAGGGGAATTGAGTCATTAACTTCTGGTTCATAGTGGACTCTAAACTTCACTGAGCCACACTGGTAGGGCAGTGATCATATTTTTATGTGCTTCTTGATGTTTTGTTTAGCTTCTTTGGGGAAATGTCAATTCAAGTCCTTGGCTCACTTTATGATTTCGGGGTTTTTTGTTGTTGAGTTTCAGGAGTTCATTTTGTATTTTGGATATTAACCCTTGTCAGTTGAATGATATACAGTTGTTTCCTCCCATTCTTGGATTACCTTTCACTCTACTCATAGCGTCCTTTGTTAAACAATAGTTTTTAATTTTGATGAAGTCCCATATATCTATTATTTTTTTGTTGTTGCCTGTGTTTTGGGTGTCACGTAGCCAGATCCAACATCATGAAGCGTGTCCTCTATGTTTTGTTATCAATGTTTTATAGTTTTAGCTCTTATGCTTAGTTCTTTGATCCATTTTGCATAAACTTTTGTGTATGGTAAAAGGCAGGAGACCAACTCCATTCTTTTGCATGTAGATATCCTGTTTTCCAAGAATCACTTGTTAACCGACTTTTTTTCCCTTAAGATATCCTTAGCATCCTTGTGCACATTTGACCATATTATGTGAGGGTTCATCTCTGGGCTTCTATTCATTTGGTTTCTGTCTTTATTCCTGTACCATTGTGTTTTGATTTTTGTAGCTTTATAGTAAGTTTTAAAATCAGGAAGTTTGAGTCCTCTCAACCATGCTGTGTGTTTTTTTGTGGGTTGTTTGTTTGTTTGTTTGTTTTCTGGTGTGTGTGTGTGTGTGTGTGTGTGTATGTTTCAGGATTGTCTTGGCAATTTTTAGATCCTTGGATTTCAAGAATTATAAATTGGACTCTACCTAGTTTGGCTCAGTGGATAGAGTGTCAGCCCACGGACAGAGGAGTCCTGGGTTCCATTATAAGTTGGATTTTGTAATTCTGAAGAATGCATATTCAAGGTGGTGATAGCTGCAGATGCATGTAACCTGTGGGTTACTATTTGTAATATTAGCCCAGGATGTCTTCCTATTTATTCATGTCATCATCTATTTCTTTCAGCAATATTTTGTAGTTTCCTGTGTAGGAGTCTTTTACCTCTTAGTTAAGTTTCTTTCTAAGTATTTTATTTTTGATGCTTTTGTAAATTGAATTGTTTTCATGATTTCCCTTTTAATTTTTCATTTTTAGTGTCTAGAAATACAACTGATTTTGGGGTGCACATTATGTAGCCTGCAACTTTTGCTGGATTTATTTTTTAGTTTTAACAGGTTTATGTTTGTGTGTGTAATTTTTAGAGTTTTCTATGTAAAAGATCATGTCATCTGCAAAGAGAATTTTAGTTCTTCCTTCCCAATTTAGGTGCTGGTTATTTATATTTTTTTGTCTTGTTTCTCTGGCCAAAACTTCCAATATGATGTTTAGTAGAAGTAGGAAATGCAGGCATCCTATTTTGTTCCTGATCTTAAGGGAAAATTTTTCATTCCTTTACTATTGAGTATGATATTAGCTATTGGTTTTTCATAAATGGCTTTTATTAATGTGTAAGTTTCCTTCTACTATAGATCAACTTCTAAATCCCTTTAAGCCTTCCTGTTGTTTTCTTTCTTTATTATTATTATTATTATTATTATTATTTTTAGAAAGGAATGGAAAATGAGAGAGAGAGAGAGAGAAAGAGAGAGAGAGGGGGAGAGAGAGAGAGAGAAAGAGAAAGCACGCACACACGTGCGCACAACGTCAGTGATGAGAGAGAATCCTTGATTGGCTGCCTCCTGCCTGGCCCACACTGGGGATCAAGCCCACAACCTGGGCATATTCCTTGGCTGGGAATGGAACCATGACTTCCTGAAGCTCCATCGCTGAGCCATGCCAGCCAGGCCCTAAGTCTTTTAATTTTATGTAGAATCACATCAATCCATAGGCTAATTTCTATGTTAATTTAAGATAAATTTAATTTCTGTACCATGGAATATTATCATAGGAAATGTTACTGGACAGGAAGAAGAATTCTGATGACATTGAATATAAACTTATAATATTTTATAATATTTGGAAAAGGAACTAATATGATTTATGTGAAGAAAATAAAGTTATGAGTTTTTATTCAAAGGTAAAAATTATAAACTTATTGCCGGGGCCTGCCTGGCAAGTTGAACCTGGCTGAGGTAGGGAGGTGGGAATTGAGAAGAGAGAGACAGGAAAGCGTGATCTGGAGAACTCCAGTTAGCCATTCACGGAACTGTAGCAGATTTATTAACTGCGCAATGCTTTTTATACACAAGACACTAATTAGGAGGTCTGTCAAGAGGAGTGTATTTCTTTGTTCCTCTTAATCTCTAAAAAAGAGATAGAGCCGAAGGACAAATTCTTAGTACAATAAATCTTCAGTAGGTAAATACAGATTTCTTGGCAAGATGACATGTTGCTCTCCTACTACATAAATTACTTTCATTCTACTGATAATCGCCATCCAAACAAGTCAGGGAAAACTGTTTGGGTAGGGGGCCAGCCCTGCTAGCCCCCTCAGATGCAAGGACCTAGTCAGCTTACATCCTGCCACCAACAACTTAGAATTTAGAGGACTTAATCTTTGTTATTGTCTTCTTTCTCCTTTTACTTATTTCCTTTTTTTTCTTTTTCTAGGACATCCCACTCCCACTCCTGATGAAACACCATCTAAAACATTAGGTATTATTTTAGTTAATAATACTCTGCAGTATGAGATTTTAAAGTTTTACATGGAAATATATTTCATTTATAGTTTGAGATAATCTATCACAAGTATGTGAGAATGGACATTTGGTAATCTTAATATCATAGATACCATGACAAATATAAACTGGTATGTATAGACTCATAGATAATACAGTGTTTAAGAGGTGCCATAAATTAGGTTTCCTTGTAAGGTGAAGTAATTTCTCAACTGTTGTATTTAGTTGTAGATTAAAATATGTAGAATATAATTTGATTTTCATGTAGTAGTGTTTTTTGTGATGACAAATGGTAGTTAAGTTTTCTTTCTATTCATACCTTATATACTCAAGACTTAATGTATTATAATTTGGGTTACTTTTTTTTTTTTTTTTAAGAGGCTGGTGTATCACACTTTATGTATGCTCACATAGTTCACACAATATATGTTCAAGAAAATTATAAGTATAGTTGTGTCATTTAAATGAAATACAAGTATTTTTGATGAATAAATGAAGAAAAATTTTAAGGATGGTCTCTTTATAAAATGCACCTTAAGCTCGTTAAGTTTTCCCTCTGAACATTGAAGTGAAACTGTCATTGTACCAGTAAGTTCAAAGTGATCTTCATTCATTAAACACTTGGCAGTTTTTCTTATGAAGTAAAAAGAGCAGAGATAAATAAGATATTGTATATTTCTATGCTTTGTTTCATAGAAATTTAATTAAGATGTAATTAAATTAACATTTTATAGAATTGTTTATTGCTCTCTTGATAATTAAAAATAATTGTTTAAGTTTCTAAGCATAATTTTATCCATGGTGCCTTGGAGTTTCTTTTGCATTCTTAGAATCTCCTTGTTATGTCTTAATTTGAAGGTGTGCATGCATGAGGAAGGATTGATTGTAAGATAATGTATTATTGGTAAAGATTCAACACACTACATTTCTTTAATAAATTAATTGAACGTTTTTATGACTTATTCCCCAGATCCACCACTGTTGGTGAAAAAATATGTTTGTAATAAAGTCATAAGAACTGGTAGACTGAATACTGAACTATATCAACTAAGATGGAATAATACATTTTTATAATGATTTTTTCCCACTAATCTAGTAAATTGTAATTGTTCTAATAATATTTATTAATAACCTAGTATGATAGCTACAGCACAAAACAGTATTCAGCCCTAAGCCTGGAATCTGATTAGAAGGGCTCTGGATCAAATGAGCTGGATGCACTGTCACACTGAACTAGACTGATAAACTTTTTTTTTTTTTGCTGTATTTTATAGATGATTAACTAAAATGTAATTGCCACCTGGAGACCCACATGTGCTCAGTTATCTTCAAACGGGTTTTATTTTTGCAGGTGGTGGAGTCATTGCTATGATTGTTATTGCTGTATGTAAGTGTCCCAACTTGGATCCCACTTAAATCAAAGTATTAATGTGAAGGGCATTATTTGTGTAACAGTGTTTCAATTTCTACAGTTTTTATAGCTTGACATTAAGTAAACCAGTCAGAAACACCTCATATTTTATATGATATACTGCCTTGTGCTGCTGATTATATATTCTTTATATTTTACTAGAGGCCTGGTGCACAGATTTGTGCACTGGAGGGGTCCCTTGGCCTGACCTGCGAGGATAGGGCTGAAACCAGTTCTCCGACATCCCCCAAGGGGTTTTGGATTGCAAGGGGGCACAGGCTGGGCCCAGGGCCCCACTGGTGCATGACTGGGGTCAGAGAAGGACTGAGGTAGGGCTCCAGGGTGTCCAAGTCCCACTTGGCTGGACGCCAGCAGCAAGCTAACCTACCAGTTGGAGCATCTGCCCCTGGTGGTCAGTGCAGGTCATAACAACTGATCAGATGAACAATCGGAGGGACACTTAGCATATTGGGTGGGGTGTATATACCACCCAATATATATATAATCTTGGGAAAATATGTATTATTTAGGATTTGTTACTTAAATGGACATATCCTATCCTATATAATAAAATATGTCTAAAAGAATATAAATATAAATATTTGGGTGGCCTGTGGGGATAGGGCCCCAGCTCACAATCCCAGCCTCAAAGCCCCAGCTTGTGCCCCCAGCCTCGCAGCCCCTGATCCCTGCCTGGCACCCTGCCTTGGCCTGGCACCGCCCCCTTACCTTCTCCACCATCCCGCCTGCAGGATGATCGATCAGGGCTGGGCCCCCCTACCCAGCTTCCTCAGCACTTGTAAGCCAGCAATGGCTCTGCCCCCCTGCCACTGGTCACTGTCTGCTGTACAATCAGCGGGGCAATAGGACCCCTGCTCACACTCACCTTTGCCTGGCGCCACCTGCTCACCTCCAACATCCCACCATGGTCCCGCTGTTCTCCGGGCTGGCAGCGCCTCCACTGCCAGTGCTGCATCGCTGATGCCTGCCCTGTTCTATTCTGTGCCCCCCCCCCCCCCCCCCCGTGGTCAGCGCACATCATAGTAAGCAGTTGAACTCCCTGTCCAAAGATGAGTGACTGCCTAAGGGACAATTTGCATATTAGACTTAAGTAACAAATCCTAAATAATACATGTTTTTCCAAGATGATTAGTCCCAAATATCCATCCCAAATATGCTTTGGGCATCTTTGTAAATTAGGAAAGGACTCTTTCTGCTTGCTGTGGACTGTCTTAAGTGATTCCAGAGATTTGCACTTAGTGAAGGAAGAGTCCAGTAAGAATATAAATGTATAGCCAGGGCAATGTGCTTAAATAAAATAGCATTTTCTGCCCTCTGAACATTAATTTCTCCTGCTAGATTTTGAATCTTGGTGATTAGTTTCCAGTTACATTTCACTTGTTCTTGGTTTATTGTAGGTTGTTTTATGGGACTTGTTAGCTGAGTTCTGTATCATCACAAGAAGAGGAAAGGGTAACTTAAAGCACGTTTCTTGAACATATTGGTGCCTGCACTCTTGACCTACTTTTGTGTAGCTTGTGATTACACTTTGTATTGCATGCATATTTTTTCAGTGTGCCTACATGACTGTGCCATCAGAATTGCATTTCTTTACTAAAAATATTTACAGTGAATTATACTATCATTGTAACAAGAGAAATCTGTGTAGAGCTGCTTCAGCTATATATCTATAAAGAAAATTTTAAAAAAATGTTTAATTTTATTTTAATCTTTATTGTTGAAAGTATTACATATGTCTCACGTTTCCCCCCAATGATACCCACAACTGCCACCCTATTGTCTGTGTCCATGGGTTACGCATATACGCATGTGAGTTCATTGGTTGATTTCTACCTTACCGCACCCCCCCCCCCCCCCAACCCCTGTTGCCTTCTCTCTGGTTTGACAGTCTGTTCGATGCTTCTGTGTCTCTGGGTCTATTTTTGTTTATCAGTTTGTGGTGTTCATTAGAAACCACATATGAGTGATATCATGTGATACTTATCTTCCTCTGACTGTCTTATTTCCCTGGGCATAATGCTGTCCAGGTCCATCCATGATGTTGCAAATGGTAAAAGCTCTCCTTCGTATATCTGCATACTATTCCATTGAATAGACATTCCACAGTTTTTTAATCCTCCCATCTGTTGATGGGCACTTAGACCGTTTTCAAATCTTAGCTATTATAAATTGTGCTGCTATGAACATAGCGGTGCATATATTATTTCTGATGAGTGTCTCTGATTTCTTAGGATATATTCCTAGAAGTGGATTACTGGGTCAAATGAGAGATCCATTTTTAATTTTTTTGAGGAAATTCTATACTGTTTTCCATAGAGGCTGACCAGTCTGCATTCACACCAGCAGTGTACTAGGGTTTCCTTTTCTCCACAACCTCACCAAACTTGTCATTTGTTGGTATGTTGATGATAGCCATTGTGACAGGCATGAGGTATTACCTCATTGTCGTTTTGATTTGCATCTCTCCAATGATTAGTGACTTGGAGCATTTTTTGTTTTTCTTTTTTTAAATTTTTTTTCTTTTTTTAATATATATTTTTTATTAAATTGTTATTTTTGTACATATACCATTGCCCCCCCCCCCCCCCGTACAAACCTTCCCTTCCCAGAGTTTTGTGTCCATTGGTTGTACATATATGCATGTATACAAGTCCTTCGGTTGATCTATTATCTCCCCCAGATCTCCCCAGCCTCCCCGCTGTAATTCAACAGTCTGCTTGTTGCTTTGCTGTCTCTATATCTATCTTTTGGTTCTTCAGTTTATAATGTTCTTTATCATCCATAAATAAGTGAAGTCATGTGGTGTCTCTATTTCATTGACTGGCTTGTTTCACTCAGCATGATGTTCTCCAATTCCATCCAGGTTGCTGCAAACAATGAGAATTTTTTCTTTTTTATGGCAGCATAATATTCCATTGTGTAAATGTACCATAGTTTTTGGATCCAATCATCTGCTGATGGGCACCTAGGCTGTTTCCAAATCCTAGCTATTGTAAATTGTGCTTCTATGAACATAGGGGTGCATATATCCTTTCTGATTGATGTTTCTAGCTTCTTGGGATATATTCCTAGTAGTGGGATTACTGGGTCAAATGGGAGTTCCATTTTCAGTTTTTGAGGAAGCTCCATACTGTTCTCCATAGTGGTTACACCAGTCTGCATTCCCACCAGCAGTGCACGAGGGTTCCTTTTTCTCTGCAACCTCACCAACACTTGTCATTTGTTGATTTGTTGATGGCCATTCTGACAGGTGTGAGATTGTACCTCATTGTTGTTTTGATTTACATTTCTCAGATATTTAGTGACTTTGAGCACGTTTTCATGTGCCTCTTGGCCTTCCTTCTGTCTTCTTTTGAGAAGATTCTATTTAAATCCATTGCCTATTTTTTAATTGGGTCATTTATCTTTCTTTTATTAAGTTGTATAAGCTGTCTGTAGATGTTGGAGATTAAACCTTTATCAGTGATAACATTTGCAAATATGTTCTCCCATACAAAGGGCTTTCTTGTTGTTTTGTTGATGGTTTCCTTTGCTGTAAAAAAGCTTTTTATTTTGATGTAGTCCCATTTGTTTATTTCTCTTTAGCTTCCATTGCGATAGGAGAAGTATCAGTGAAGAAGTTCTTTTGGCATATGTCAGATTTTGCTGCCTGTGGATGCCTCTAGTATTTTTATGGTTTCCCGTCTTATGTTTAAGTCCTGTATCCATTTTGACTTTATTTTTGTGTATGGTGTAAGTTGGTGATCCAGTTTCATTCTTTTGCATGTATCTGCCCAATTTTCCCAACACCATTTATTGAAGAGACTGTCTTGACTCCACTGTATGTTCGTACCTCCTTTGTCGAATATTAACTGAGCGTAGTGATTTGGGTTGATATCTGGGTTCTCAAATCTATTCCATTGATCTATATGTCTGTTCTTGTGCCAGTACCAGGCAGTTTTGAGAACAGTGGCTTTGTAATACAGTTTGAAATCTGGTATGGAAATCCCTCCTACTTTACTCTTCTTTCTCAAGATTGCTGTGGCTATTCGGGGTCTTTTGTTGTTCCAAATGAACTTTTGAAGAGTTTTTTCTAGGTCAGTGAAATATGCCGTTGGTATTTTAATGGGGAGTGCATTGAACCTATAGAATGCTTTGGGAAGTATGGACATTTTGATGATGTTGATTTACCAATCCATGAACATGGTATGTTTACATCTTCCTCTATCTCTTTTTTCAGTGTCGTGTAGTTTGCAATGTATAGGTCTTTTACCTCCTTAGTTAAGTTTATTCCAAGATATCTTAATTATTTTGGTGCCAAGGTAAATGGGATTGCCTTTTTAGTCTCTGTTTCTGCAAGTTCACTATTGGTGTATAGAAATGTCATAGATTTCTTGGCGTTAATTTTGTATCCTGCTACATTGCCAAATTCATTTATTAAGTCAGTTAGTTTTTTAATGGAGTCTTTTGGGTTTTTTATGTACAATATCATGTCATCTGCAAATAAGGATAACTTTACTTCTTCTTTTCCAATTTGGATGCCTTTTATTTCCTCTTCTTGTCTAATTGCAATGGCTAGTACTTCCAGTACTACGTCAAACAGGAGTGGTGAGAGTGGGCAACCCTGTCTTGTTCCTGTTCTTAGAGGGAATGGTTTTAGTTTTTGCCCATTGAGTATGATGTTGGCTGTGGGTTTATCATATATATCTTTTATTATGTTGAGGTATGATCCTTGTACTCCCACCTTGTTGAGAGTTTTTATCAGGAAAGGGTGTTGGATTTTATCAAATGCTTTTTCTGCATCAATTGATATGACTATATGATTTTTATATTTCAATTCGTTTATGTGATGTATCACATTTATTGATTTGTGGATATTGTACCATCCTTGCATTCCTGGAATAAATCCTTCTTGGTCATGGTGTATGATCTTTGTGATGCTCTGCTGGAGCCGATTTGCTAGATTTCCTCTTGTATTTTTTGGAATAGTCTGAGGAGGATAGGTTTTAGTTCTTCCTTGAAGGTTTGGTAAAACTCTCCTGTGAAGCCATCTGGCCCTGGGCTTTTGTTTGCTGGAAGCTTTTTGATGACTTCAGTTTCTTCCCAAGTTACTTTTCTATTGAGATTTATAGATTCTTCCTGATTGAGTTTTGGAAGATTGTATTTCTCTAGGAATATGTCCATTTCCTCCAGGTTGTTCAGTTTGTTGGAATAGAGTTGTTCGTAATATTTTGTAACAATCCTTTGTATTTCGGCCGGGTCTGTTGTTATTTCACCTCTTTCATTTCTGATTTTGTTTATTTGGGTCCTCTCTCTTTGTTTCTTGGTTAGCCTGGCTAGAGGTTCATCTATCTTATTTATCCTTTCAAAGAAACAGCTCTTGGTTTTGTTTATCTTATGTATTGTTTCTTTGGTCTGTATGTCATTTATCTCCGCTCTAATTTTTGTTATTTCCTTCCTTCTGCTGACATTGGGCTTTTCTTGTTGCTCTTTTTCTAACTCTTTGAGTTGTAGAGTTAGATCATTTGTTACCATTTTTTCTAGTTTTTTGCAGTAGGCTTGTAGGGATATGAACTTCCCTCTCACTGGATCATTTTTTCATATGCCTTTTCCCCTTCCGTATGTCTATTTTGGAAAAGTATCTGTTTAGATCCTTTCCCCACTTTTTAATTGGCTTATTAATCTTCCTTTTGTTAAGTTGTATGAATTCCCTATAAATTTTGCAGGTTAACCACTTATTGGATGTACCATTGGCAAATATGTTCACCCATGCAGTGGGCTCTCTTATTGTTTTGTTGATGGTTTCTTTTGCTGTGCAGAAGCTTTTTATTTTGATGTAGTCCCATTTATTTGTTTTCTCCTTAGTTTCCATTGTCCTTAGTTTCCATTATGATATCTGTAAACATATTGATACAAGAGATGTCTGAGATCCTCCTGCCATATGGTTTTTTCTAGGACTTTATGATTTCACTACTGAAATTTAAGTCTTTTATCCATTTTGAGTTTATTTTTGTATATAGTGTTAAGTTGGTGGTTTAGTTTCATCTTTTTGCATGTATCTGCCCATTTATTGAAGAGACTCTCTTGACTCCATTGTTTGCTCTTGCCTCCTCTGTCAAATATTAATTGACTTGGGTTGATTTCTGGGTTCTCTGTTCTTTTCCATTGTTCTATATGTCTGTTCTTGTGCCAATACCAGGCTGTTTTGAATATAGTGTCTTTGTAGTATAACTTGACATTTGGTCTTATGATCGATCCCTCCAACATTGTTCTTCTTTCTCAAGATTGCTGTGGCTCTTTGGGATCTCTTTTTTGTTTTGTTTTTTAAATCCCATATAAATATTTGGAATATTTGTTCTAGGTCTGTGAAATATGCCATTGATATTTTAATAGAGATTGCATTGAATCTATAAATTGTTTTGGGTAGTATGGCCATTTTTAAAAATATATATTTTATTGATTTTTTTACAGACAGGAAGAGAGAGGTATAGAGAGTTAGAAACATCCATGAGAGAGAAACATCAATCAGCTGCCTCCTGCACACCCCCCAATGAGGATGTGCCCACAACCACAGTACATGCCCTTGACCAGAATCGAACCCAGGACCCTTCAGTCCGCAGGCCAAAGCTCTATCCACTGAGCCAGACCGGTTTTGGCAGTATGGCCATTTTAATGATGTTGATTCTACCAATCCATGAAGATGATATATTCCTCCACTTGTATGTATCTTACTCTATTCTTTTTTCAGTGTCCTGTCATTCTTGGAGTATAGGTCTTTTACCTCCTTGGTTAAGTTTATTCCTAAGTATCTTAATATTTTTTGTTGCAATGGTAAATGGGATTGTTTAGTTTCTATTTCTGAGATTTCATTATTGGTGTATAAAAATGCCATGGATTTCTGGATTTTATATCCTACTATATTCCAGATTCACTTATTTAATTGAGTAGATATTTTATGGAATCTTTTTTAAAAAATATATATATATTATTGATTTTTTTTCAGAGAGAAAGGGAGAGGGAGAGGGAGTTAGATCAATGAGAAACACTGATCAGCTGCCTCCTGCATGCCCCCTAGTGGGGATGTGCGTAACCAAGGTATATGGCCTTTACTGGAATCGAACCTGGGACCCCTCAGTCCGCAGGCTGCTGACGCTCTATCCACTGATCCAAACTGGTTAGGGCTTGATGGAATCTTTAGGGTTTTCTGTGTATAATGTCAGATCATCTGTGAATAATGACTTTTACTTCCTTTTTTCTAATTTGGATGCATTTTATTTCTAGTTCTTGTCTTATCACTTCCAGTACAATGTCAAACAGGAGTGATGAAAGTGGGCATCCCTATCTTGTTTCTATTCTTAGGGGAAATGGTTTTAGTTTTTCCCATTGAGTATGATGTTGGCTGTAGGTTTGACATATAAAGCTTTTATTATGTTAAGGTCTGATCACTCTATTCCCATTTTACTAAGAGTTTTTATCAAAAATAGGCGTTGAATTTTGTCAAATATTTTTCCTGTATCAATTGATATGATCATGTGGTTTTTATCTTTGTTTGTTTATATAATGTATCACATTTATTTATATGTGCATATTGTATCAGCCTTCCATCCCTGGAATAAATCCCACTTGGTTATTATAAAGTGGCCTTCAGTATCTCTTGTTATGGCCTTCACTTTGAGGTCTTTTTTTGTCAGATATAAGTATTACTACCCCAGCTTTTTTCTCATTATTATTTGCCTGAAGAGTGTTTTTTGTGTGTGTGTGTTTTTTAATCCCTTCACATTCAGTCTGTGTGAGTTCTCTGTTCTGAGGTGGGTCTCTTGTAGATAGCATAGACATGGGTCGTGTTTTCTTACCCATTTAGCTACCCTGTGTCTTTTGATTGGAGCATTTAATCCATTTACCTTTATTGATAAGTATTTGTTCATTGCTATTTTCATTCTTTATGCCTGTGTTCCTTCTTCCCTTTCTATTTCTCATTTTTACAGCAGTTTCTTTAGCATTTCTTGCATTGCTGGATCCGTGGTAATATACTCTTTTTTTTTTTTTTTTTTTCTGCACAGCTCTTGATTTCACCTTCAATTTTGAATAATAGCCTTGCTGGATAGATTATTCTTGGTTTCAGTCCCTTGTTTTGCATCATTTTGTATACTTTATTCCATTTCCTTCTGGCCTGAGTTACCTTGTAGGTAACTTTATCTTGCAGCCTTTATGTTCTTTCTTTGTCTTTTATGTTGGCCAGTTTAATTGATGTGTCTTAATACAGGTTTTTTTTGGGGTTCATCTGGATTGGGACTCTGTGCTTTTTGAACTTCTGTGACTTTTTCTTTCCCAAGTCAGGAAAGTTTTCTGTCATTATTTCTTCAAACAGGTTTTTTAATACTTGCTCAGCTTTATGTCCTTATGGCACCCTTATTATGTGGCTGTTGTTTAATTTCATGTTGTCCCAAAGCTCCCTTCAACTCTCCTGCTTTTTAATGTTTTTTTTCTACTTGCTGCTGTACTTGGCTGTTTTACTTTTTGTGTTAAAGATAAACAAAGTTTATCTACCTTGTCTTCTAACTCACTGATTCAATCCTTTCTCCTACTCCACTGTTGAAACCTTCTGTTGTGTTCTTTGTTGCCACTATGTCATTCTTCATTTCTTCTTGATTTTTACTTCTGTTGGTGAATTTCTCATTCAACTCCTTATAATTCTCATTGAGTTGCATGTATTTGTTATCCAGACATTTGAGCATCCTTATAACTATTACTCTGAATTCTCTCCCTGACAAGTTACTTGCCTTCATTTTACTTAGTTTCTTTTCTGGTTATCTTTCTTTTCTTTCATTTGGTGATTGTTTCTTTGTTTCCCCATTTTTGCTGTCTCATTGTATTTGTTTTTATGTCTTAGATCAAACTGCTATGCGACCCAGATTTGGGTGGGTGGTCCTATGTAGTATGTGTTTTGTGGGATCCAGTGGTGCAGTCTCGCTGGGTATTCTAGGAAAGGCCCTTACTTGAGTTATCCTGGGGTAGTTGGGTCTTGAATGTAATTTTTCCACTCATGGGTAGAGTCACCTTACAGTTGTCTATGTGTCTCATCCCCAACTTCATTGTATAAGCTGTTGTGGATGTGCTCAGGGATGTGCTCCTATGGTAAGGTCGTCTGAGGTCCCACTGGTGTGAGACTCACTGCAGGGCCCTGAAGTTTGTGGCCAGTTGACCTGACATACTGTGGGGTCTTTTCTAAAAGGTTCATGTAAAAATAGCTCCTAAGGAAAGCAAAACAATAGAGCATTGTATCCATCACTTCTTTGTTTAAAACATTGCATCAGAATACTTAGTTTCTTAAACAAGTTTGAATCCAACATTCAAGCTATCAATTAATGGCTCTTTTAAAACTGAATAAGTATCTTGAGTGCTGTATCCCCAGATTCAGTGTTCAGTACCATAACTGATCTGAGATTCCATTTCTGATGAGCTCTACGTGATGATGATGCTGGGCCTGGACTACAATTCGAGTAACTAGGGTGAAGACTATTATTGATGTGTCAATATACTTTCAATATGAGGAAATACAATGAAGTTTATAGGCCAATTTTTATCTTGCTTAAGATAGATTTTTTAAGACTCCTAAAGATTTCTTAAAGGTATTTGGTACTTAGTTTTGCCTTGCTTTCTTTTTAAAAAATTAAAAGTTTATATTATACTAGAGGCCTGGTGCACAAATGTGTGCACAGGTTGGATCCCTTACCCTTGCCATCAATGGGGGCCAATCAGGGCATCTTGGCCAGTCCCAATTGGGGCTGGCAGCTCAGGGAAAGGACCATGGGAAGTTGGCTGTGGGATCACACTGACCACCATTGAGCACCTGGTGGTCAGTGCGTGTCATAGCAACTGGTCGACTGGTCATTCTGTTAACTGGTCGTAATGGTCACTTAGTCATGTGTGTGTGTGTGTGTGTGTGTATTATATGTTAGAGGCCTGTTGCAGGAAGATTCCTGCAATAGAGCTTTCTGCTGTGGTCGCTGCCCCACCTGCTTTCCTCCCTTCTCTCCCGCCCTACTTGCTTGCTTCTTCACAGCTTCACTCCCTGTGGCCACAGAGAACAGGAAGAAGGTTTGGGTTTCCCTGGCAATGAAGGAAGCCAAGCTTCTCACCTGCCCTTGCCAGCCTAGCCTCCACTAAAGGCTATGAAGTTTTAATGATAGAAGATAAATTCCAACAGAAATAGTGGCAGTTACCAAGTTGGAAAGAGCAGGAGGCAAGGGTTGCCTCTGTCGATGGAGGAAGCCACGCTTCTGAAGCCCTGAGCTGCTTTGGCCTTCGTTCCAGGCTACAAAGTTTCAATATAGAAGATACATAAATCCCAACAGAAATGGCTGCCGCCATGGAGCAAGCAGAAGTCTTGGCTCCACTCCAGACTACAAAGTTTAAATTGTAGAAGATAAATTAACCCCAGATACCAGGGCCTCCGCTTGGGTTGCTGAGGGAGAGGGAGCATGGCCAGCCTGCAAACCACCACAGGCCCCTTGCCCAGGCTGCCCCACACCCCAAAGTACCCCCTAACCTGATTCAGGACACCCTTCAGAGCAAATCAGCTGGCCCCCACCCATGCACCAGGCCTCTATCCTATCTAATAAAAGAGTAATATGCAGATTGACCATCTCTCCAACACATAAGATGGCTGCCCCCATGTGGTCAAAGATCCTGCCTCCAGGATGTCCACCACAAGATGGCCTGCAAGGGAGGGAAATTAGGGGTGACAAGGCCTGCAGGGGAGGGCAGTTAGTGGCAAACAGGCTGGCAGGGGAACAGTTAGGCATCAATCAGGCTGGCAGGGGAGTGGTTAGGGGGTGATCAGGCTGACAGGCCCAAGTGGTTATAATGCAATCAGGAAGGCAGGCAGGCGATCAGTCGGGAGCCAGCAGTCCTGGATTGTGAGAGGGATGTCCCAGGTTGGAGAGGGTATGGACTGGACTGAAGGACACCCCCCCCCCTTGCATGAATTTCATGCACCAGGCCTCTAGTTATAAATAAATAATAAAGAGAAAGACAAATGCCATGTGATTTCACTTATAAAGTAGAATCAAAAAACAACCAAAACAAAACAATATCAGACACATAAAGTCAATGACTAAAGAGATAGTTGCCAGAAGGGAGATGGGGTAGAAGGGATGTTGTGTAAAAAAGGTGAAGGGAAATATTGTAATATTTTTTCAAAGGGACAGATGAAATAGAATCAGTGTATGATCTCATTATAAGGTATAAAATTTTCAAATCACGATATTGTATACCTGAAACTAGTATGACCAGTATATTATATGCCAACTATACTAAAATTTTAAAAAAATGGAAAAAGTAAGTAGAGTGATCGAAAGTTAGGAAATTGAAACAGTAATCAAAAACATACCCTTAAACAAAAGTTCAGGCCCAGGGTGGCTTCACTGGTTAATGCTGACAAACATTCAAGGAAGATTTAATACTAGTCCTTCTCAAATTCCTCCAAAGCACTCAGGAGGAGGGGATATATCCAAACCTATTTCATGAAGCCAACTTTATCCTGATAACAAAACCAGGCAAGGACAACACACAGAAAAAAAATTTGCAGGCCAATATCCATGATGAACATCAATGCAAAAATTCTAAACAAAGTACAAAATAGCCAAATACAACTGTACATTAAAAGGATCACATACCATGATCAAGTGGGGTTCATTCCTGGGATGGGAGGATGGTTCAGCGTTTTCACAAATCAAACACTGTGATAACATTAACAAAATATAGAAAAACCATATGACTGCATCATGATGCAGTAAAAGCATTTGACAAGATACATTTATGACTAAAACACAATAAAGTGGGTACAGAAGCAAAGTATCTCAACAAAATAAAAGCAAGATGTGATGGTCAGTGATGTCATACTCTGGTGAAAAACAGCTTTTCCTGTAAAATCAGGAATAAGACAAGGATGCCCACTCTCACCATTGTTATTCAACATAGAAATGGAAAGCCAAGTCAGGGAAAATGAGCAATACCTCTTAAAAAGTATCCAAATTGGGATTGAAGTGAAGTCACTATTTGCTTATAATAAAATTATATAGTAAACCCTAATGACTCCAACAAAAGAATATTAGAATAAAATGAACAAATACAATGAGTTACAGGATACAATATCAATGTACATTCTGTTCATATATATTAACAAAATATCAGAAAGAGGAAAAAATCCTATTTACAGTTGCAACAAACAAAATAAAATATCTAGGAATTAAAGGATGTGAAGGACCTTTATACTGGAAACTACATTGTTGAAAGAAATCTAAGAAGATGAAATGGAAAGATATTTCATGTTAATGGATTAGAAGAGTTAGCATCATTAAAGTGGCAATATATCTTAAGCAGTATGCAAATTTAATGCATTCCTCATCAAATTCCAATGGCATTTTTTCAAAGAACGAGAATAAAAATTTATAAAATTTTATGGAACTGCAAAAGACCCTGTAGGGATTTGCCAAGCCCTGACTAGTTCCATAATGCTGATATTAAAGATCCATATTGGGCCGTAGCAGGTGTGGCTCAGTTGGTTGGGAGTCATCCCATGCACTGAAGAGCTACCTGTTCGATTCCTGGTCAAGGCACATGCCAGGGTTGAAGTTCCCCAGTTGGGGGAACTTCTGCAGGCAGCAGCCAACTAATGTTTCTCTCTTTCTGTGTCTCCAAAAATTAATTAATATATATATATATATATATATATATATATATATATATATATATTTATATATATATATATTTATTTTATTTTTTATTTTTTTAAGATCCATATTGAGGCAAGCAAGGACACAAAAATGGTAACCAACTGAATGGGAAGAAATATTTGCAAAAGATACCTCTGATAAGGGGCTAATTTCTAAAATACATAAAGGACTCATACAACTCAACAACAACAAAATCTGATTTGAAAATGGGCAGAGGATCTGCATAGACAATTATCCAAGGAAGACATACAGATGGCCTACAAGTATATTAAAGGATGTTCAACATCACTAGTTATAATGGAAATGCAAATGAAAACCACAATGAGGTGCCTCCTCACACTTGTTAGAACATCTGTCATTATGACAAGGTATAAGTATTGAAAAAAATATGGACAAAAGTGAACCCTCATGCACTGCTGGTGGGAATGTAAATTGGTGCAGCCATTATGGAGGTTCATCAGAAACTTAAGAATAGAGCTAAAATACAAACCAGCATTCTTTCTTCTGGGTACCTAACTGAAAATTGTGAAAACACAAGATATATGGAACATTATGTTCATTGCAGCATTATTCACAATAGCTAAGACATGGAAACAACCTAAGTGTCCTTCTGTAGGTGATTGGATAAAGAAAAAGAGGTATATATATATATATATATATATATTGATATATATATATATTGAAATACTAAACCATAAAAAGACTAAATATTGCCATTTTCAACAAAATGATTGAGTCTTGAGAGGATTATGCTAAGGAAGTAAGTCATCCAGAAAAGGATAAAAACTGGTTTCACTCATGTGGAATATAAAACAAAAAGCAGCAAACAAACAAAACAACTCAGTAACAGACAATAAAATGATGGTTTGTAGAAGGGAGGGGTGGTAGTGAAGAGGTTAAAGGGAAGTGACGGAAGGAAACTAAACTTCAAAGTAGAGTATACAGATGTCTTTTACAACTTGTGCACCTGAAATTTATATAATGTTACCCCAATAAGTTTAATTTTAAAAGGGTAACATAATTTTTGTTATTTGATAGAAGTACAGACATATATTTTTAGAGTTGTACATCAGTCTGCCATAATACCAATCCAGGGCATAAGAAAAGAGGTTTCTTGGGGATCAAAATAGGTCTAGCTCCTTTCTTAGATCCTTAATTTTACAGGAGAGGCCTCTGCATTCTTTTAGCCCTTCGGGACTTTATTTGATGTGTCTCTATCTATCTATCTATCTATCTATCTATCTATCTATCTAAAAGCCTAATAATCAAAGTGTCCCCTCTGGAGTTCTACCAGGAGTTTGGTCACTTGCTAAGATGTGTGCTGACCACCAGAGGGTGGTGTGGAATGAAGAGAGGCCCCTGCTGGCAGCCAGCAGCTGGGAAAGGGAGGTTCTGGCGGATAGCCCACAGTTCTGTGAATTACAACCATTGGAGACTTCATGGAGGAGGGGGCTCCCTGAGCTACACCTAGGAAGATACTCTAATCTGAAGCATCAAAAACTTGCGTAGCTCTCACTGTGTTCCACATGCCAATTCACCTGCTACTCAGCACCACCCCACGAAGTATATACCTTTCCACAGATGGGGAATTCAAATAAGAGAACCAGACCTAGCCAATCTGACTCAGGTTAGAGCGCGGGACTCTGACTGAATGGTCCAGGGTTCTGATCAAGGGACGTACCTCAGTTGCAGACTCCCATCTTCAGCCCTGGTTGGGTGGCCACCAACTGATGTGTCTCTTTCACATCCATGTTTCCCTCTGTCTGGCTCCCCCATCCCTTCAATTCTCTCTAAAAATCAATGTTAAAAATATCCTCTGGTGAAAATTAACAAAAAATGGAAAGTTATCAAAAAATAGAAAAATTAAGGTGCTTGTCCAAGCTCAACAAACAGTCAGCCTTAGAGCTGGGACTCGAATGCAGTCAGGTCAGCTCTTGGGCCAGATCTCTCTGCTCTGTCGTTGCCCTGACAGAGCAGAATGGCATGAGCAAGGACATAGGTGTGACAGTGCGAGGTGCCTGCCAGAGGTAGCAATCACCAGACTGTCAGGCATGACAGGTTTATTTAGACACTTTGCTCTAGGATATGAAGAATCTCCCCATTTCATTACATTGCAGATTCTGTTAACGCATTCAATACTTGTCACTTCAGAAACTTCTCCCTGAAGCTAGTGTAGTGCAGAAAAACAACCCTATAAGAACTTCTTCATTAGTATGTGTTCTTGTTAACTGATAAAGAAACAATAATCATTCCTTTTCTCATTTAGTTACCTACTTGGAACAAAAATTCTGCATTGTGAACTCTCTGGAAATACTGTGGGATGGAGTGAGGAACCACCACATTGTGAAAGTAAGTACATTCTCTCTTTAGAATTTACAGCAGCCGTTCCCAAACTTTTTGGCCTGGGGACCCCTGTATACTTTACAGTTAACCAAGACCCCACAGAGCTTTTCTGTAGGTGGGTTAGTGCTACTGATATTCTTCATATTAGGATTCAGGCAGAGTTTTAAAATAATTATTTAATTCATTTTTTAAGAACAATAATCTCAATACATGTTAAGAAATGTGACATTTTTTTGTAAGATCAAACATTTCCAAAGTAGTGCTTTATATTTTGTTCTAATCTCTTCAGTATCTGGCTTAAAGGAAGCCCTCCAGATTCATTCTGTGGCATTATCAGACAGTCTGAAGCCATTGGAAAGTTGCACTCTAAGGATGACAGTGAGAAAAGACAAAATCATGGTATACTTGAGAACCACTGATTCAGGAAAGGATGTAGCATTTTTCAACTAGCACTGAGTTTTACTAAATCATATTTTCTCATTAAATTGTCAACATCTCTCTTTTTAAAAAAATATATATTTTATTGATTTTTTACAGAGAGGAAGAGGGAGGGACAGAGAGTTAGAAACATCGAAAAGAGAGAGAGAATCATTCATCAGCTGCCTCCTGCGCACTCCCCACCGGGGATGTGCCCGCAACCAAGGTACATGCCCTTGACCAGAATCGAACCCGGGACCTTTCAGTTCGCAGGGTGACACTCTATCCACTGAGCCAAACCGGTTTTGGCAGCATCTCTTATGATTAGAAAAAACTTAGTATGGCCTTTCAGATACACACAAGTATTTCATGCAGGTATCTTATATGGGTTTTTAAGAATATCGGTTTTATTCTAGAATTTCATTTCTCTATTAATGGTTTGAATTAGGATAATGAATTTTTTTAAATATATATTTTATTGATTTTGTACAGAGAGGAAGGGAGAGAGAGAGCTAGAAACATCGATGAGAGAGGGTCATCGATCAGCTGCCTCTTGCACACCCCCTACTGGGGATATGCCCACAGCCAAGGTACATGCCCTTGACCGGAATCGAACCCGGGACCCTTCAGTCCCCAAGCCGACGCTCTATCCACTGAGCCAAACCGGTTTCGGCAGGATAATGCATTTTTTCATAGAAACTTTGTTTCAGGTGGATATTGGACTTGCAACTAGGTGTAGAAATCATGTCAAGGAACTTATTGAAGGCAGTTCATAGGACACTAATAATACTGTCTTTTAGTTTTGCGTTTGCCTTTTCTGTCCACATTTTTTTTTCTTTCTCTTTTTAAGAGGTTTTGTGTCGACTCCCTCAACAAATACCAAATGGAGAATTCACCAGTAGCCACAAGAATACATTTGAATATTTATAATGAAATAGTAACTTACAGTTGTAAGCCTTCTGTGGACCAGATGAATATTCACTGGTTGGAGCGAGCAGGCTCGTTTGTTCTGGGCCTAATCGATGGAACCCTGAACCTCCTGAGTGTAAAGGTAATAACAGTTCCCTTGCTTTCCCTCATTTGTAAACTGTGTGGCAACTTTTACCAACTTTTACTTTACCAACACGGAAAAACAAAAAACAAAAAAAACCCAGCCATATGTGCTTGTTCCCCCTGTTAAATTTGTTTTTAATCTAATTTTATGTGCCAAATAGAATAAAAAATAATTCTACTTGTAGAATTTCCTACTCTTCCCCCACATGTTCTTGACATTCCTGCTTCTACATTGTTAATTACTATATATGTCCATGAATTAATTTTGGGGGGATTGAAAGCATCAAAACACACACACACGTGCTTTAAGACAGTTGTGTCTAATAATTCAGGAAGACGACAGTTCTGGCTAGACGAAATGGCAGAATGAATTGTAAAAGACAAACCCTTCCACCAATAAGGTTGATAATGCCTAGGCAAAGCAAACAGCACATCTTGTTAAATTGTGCTTCTCACATATTGCTGCTTTTTTTTTTTTTCAAATTGAAAACTAGCAAAACAACTGTAACTTATTTTACATCGGTACTCATTTATCTGAATCAAATCTGAAATATCTCTCAGGTTTACCTCTACTTAAAAAGCAATGCTTAAGGCATTCGAGCATGCCCAGAAGCAGGAGACACTGACTCTTGAACAAAAGGAACCACTGAGAAACAGCAAAATATGTCCTTCTTTCATGTGCATATGTAACAATCTTTAGTACCATATTCTATACAATATGTTTAAAAAAATTTTATTTAAAAAATTGAACTTATTTACAGCACATATCTTTACAATCTATAAAATCCCCAAATATTTAAATATTAGTTAGAAGACACTTCTAACTAATCCAAGAATATAAGAAGGAACTACAAGAGAAATTAGAACATGTTTTGAATTGAATAAAAGTAAAAACAATATATAAAAATATCAAAACTTGTGGAATACAGCGAAAGCATTTCTTAGAAGGATATTCATAGCATGAAATGCATATATTCAGTAAGAGAATAGTTTCACATCAAGAATCTAAGCTTTCACTTTAAAGAAGTAAAAAGGAAGAAGTGGAATATAGAACAAGAAAACAGAAAGAAAGAATAAAGATAGAAAATTAATAAAATAAATTAGAATCATTGAAACCAATACCTTGTTCTTTTTCTTTTTTTTACCATATTTACATAATTTATACTTTTTTAAAGCAATGGTCTCATAAATATGGACTACAACTTTACATAGGCTAACCAACAGATAATTGTTCCCCCACCAAAATATTTGGTTAAATAAAAAATTGACAGTATTTACACTACTTTCTTTTCCTTCTTTTTAAACCAGTTAGTCAGTTTAAACATATGCAATTTGATTTACTCCAGTCAGCTTCTCCACCACCACCCCTGATCCTTAGAGCTTATTACAGAAGGTGCCAGTAATGAGTTTGGTGACACATACAGGACAGGGTCAGAATGCAAAACAGAGGCTATTGTTGTGAATTTACTGAATGTATCCTGGGCTAATGTATGCAATGGAAAGTGCTCTGGAGATGGATGCAATCATTTCCATCAGTCCGATAAATAACCCATTTTACCTTCAGATAATAAATCACCATCCCTCCACTTAACGATATGCTACCACATTTTAAATTATACAACTCCCCAGAACAGTGGTAATGTGAAACTAAGGAAATTAATCTCCACGAGGTCTTCTTTCCCTCCAGAATGATGAAAGTGCTCATTTCTTTTTACAAATGTTACATAAAATCTTGATTACAAAACGAAGCAACAATTGGATCCTACCATCCATACAATTACATGTTCTTTTTCAACAGGTCAAAAGCCAGTGATGGAGTCCCTTTGTCCCCCAGAGTCTTTACATAACAAAAGTCCGAAGACTGAAACAGCACTGCTAGTCTTCAAAGAGGAAACAGACTGGTCAATTTCTGCGACTCTTTTGCACGAAGACCCCAGACCAGCTAGGCGAAGCCTGGCAGCAGGGCCCAGCCCTCCCGTTAGCTTTCAGGACCACCTACTTCACCGCTGAGGCTGAGGCTGAGGCTGAGGCTGAGTCAACAGCAGCTTCGCCTGGGCTCTGAAGGCTGTCTCCGGAGTTTGAAGCCCTTCCCGCCACATGGCGGGTTGGTGTCAGTGGAAGGAATTCTTCGACTAATTTCTATAAACAATACCTTGTTCTTGATGAAGATCAATAAAGTGTATAAACCTATAACCAGTGTAACCAAAAAAAAGTAGAAAACACAAATTCACAATATCAAGAATGGAAAAGAGAACATCACTAAATATCCTGCAGACATTTAAAGGCCAGGAAGGGAACAGCATGCACAACTTTATGCCAACAAATTTGATGCTTAAACCTTCTCACAAAGAGAACTGAAGACGCCATATCATCACTACGTATTGTACCAACAGCTAAGCAGCTCTACACAAACTTCAAGAAAATACAATAGGAGGGAATACTTCTCACCTTATCCCATGAGGACAGCATTACCCTGATACCAAAACCAGACAAAACATGGCAGGAAAATGAAAAACAATATCCACTGTGAACAAAGAACCAAAACTGTCAGCGATGGTCAAGGTCATCTCTGCCCTGAGATAGCCCCAGTTCTTGTCTTGCTTGCCGGAATGAATTCAAACAAGAGAGAACAAATAGCAGCAAAAGCAGGGGAGAATTCATTTGCAGAAAAAGGAGGACACTCAGAACCTGAGCAGGCAACTCATCAGGCTGACACCAAACCGAGTGCCCTGATATTTGGGAGTTCAGAGGATTTATACCCCTAGGCTGGAATGCTCCTTGCAAGGAGAAACTCACCCCCCCCCTCTTGACTCAAGAAAATATATCTTCAAACTGTAAGGCTCCTTCACCCAGGTGTATGCCACCGCTTACACCACATCCTGAACGGGCTCTAAATTGTCTCTCCTCACAGAAGGGCCTGATGCCTCCAGTGTCTGTTTTTGGTTTGTCACCTCTCACTGTACCCCCAGCTGCCTTTCTCAGCTCGTGTGTTTCTAGCTGCCTAGTCTAACAAACGATTAAAATATTATCAAGTAAAATTCTGTCATATTATAAAAATAAGAGTACTATATCATAATTAAATAGGATTTATTCCATGAAGGCAAAGTTGTTTCAAATTAAAAAAATAGTGTAATTTACCATATGAAGAGACGATAAAGAAGAAAAAAACAAATGATCATCTTAATAGATACAAAAAAAATGCCTTTGAAAGAAAACTTCTTAGCAAACTAGGAATAGAAGGGACCTAACTATCTCAACCTGATAAAGGGTACCTACAAGATTCCCACAGATAGCATTACATTTAATGATGAATGTAATGTTGTTTCCTATTGAGGTAGGAATGAGACACGTGTGTCTACTCATCCCGCTCTATTCATTATCCTGTTGAAGGTGCTATTCAGTAAAATAAGGCAAAATATAGAAATAGGCATTCTTATTAAAAAGAAAGAAAGAAAATAGATTGTGTTCAATAATGACAGGATTGTGTGTGGAAAATATGAAAGAATAAAGTCTTACCAAGGTTGTAAGACACAAGCTCCATTTACAGAAATCAATGGTATGTATGTACACTAGCAGTAAAAAGTTAGAAATTAAAATTTGCAGGTACTATTTATAGCTCAGAACTACATAAAACATTTGCAAATGAATCTAAAAATATATGTATAATAATTGAAAGGTGAAAACAACATTAAAAATAGTATTTTTTAATTAATGCCTTTTTATTAGTAGTGCCTTTGTTAAAGAAGGCATTAATAAATATATTGTTCATGGATTACAAGACTAAGTATAATAAAGATATCAATTCCCTATCATTGATATATAAACTGAATATAATCCCAATAAAAATTCCACCAAAAGTTTTCTAGAAGTTGACAAATTGTTTTTAAAATTTACATGAAAAGACAAAAGAATAAGAGTCAAAATAATTTTGGAAAAAAATAGAGGGCTCATTCTATCTGGTGTCAAGACTTATTATGAAAACATACTATGAAATATATAATCAAGAATGTGGTATGGCCGGGACCGGTTTGGCTCAATGGATAGAGCGTCGGCTTGGGGACTGAAAGGTCCCGGGTTCGATTCTGGTCAAGGGCATGTACCTTGGTTGCGGGCATATCCCCAGTGGGGGATGTGCAAGAGGCAGCTGATCGATGACTCTCTCTCATTGATGTTTCTAACACTCTATCTCTCTCCCTTTCTGTATAAAATCAATAAAATATTAAAAAAAAAAAAAAAGAATGTGGTATGGATAAAAGCACGACTGTAGAACACAATGGAACAGAATAGAATCTAAGGTAGAGCCTTCCAAATGTGTCCAATTTATTCTATCACACATGTACAAACAATTCAGTGGAAAATGGTAAAAGTACCAGCATAATTGGACATCAATATGCCATAAAAGGGAACTGTGCCATATTCAAACATTGCTAAAAATAGATGATAGACTTTATTTAAATTCAAAATTATAACCCTTTTACTTTAAAACATAGGACACAATCATGACTTGGCCAAAGAGTTCTTAAATACTAAAGCATGATCCTTTAAAGAAAAAAAAAAAGATGTTAATAAATTTGACTTCTTAATAATCAAAGCTTCTGCTCTCAAAAGACATTGTTATAAGAATTTTTAAAAATGAGCCCAACCCCTGGCCATATGGTTCTGTTGGTTGGAGCTTCGTCTTGCACTCTACAGGGTTCCCGGTTCTATTCTAGGTCAAGGCACATACCTTAGTTTTGGATTCAGGACAAGTAACGAAGGCAACTGATCAATGTTTCTCTCTCACAATGATGGTTTTTTTTTCTCTCTCTCTTTTCCTGTATCTAAGCAT